CCCCGTCCCCACGCACGGCCCGCCCCTGCGGGGCCCCTTCCACCGCCTTTTAGCCCCACTCCTTTCTTGGTGGGGCGTGTTCCGGAGACGCCTCCCCCCGCCGTCTCCCTGTCGCCCCTCTCCGCTCCCTTGTCAGTCTCCCCGCGGCGGAGAGACGGTGTTTCGCGCGCTGCGTCGCCCGTTCGCCACGCCCCGCAACACTCACCTCGCAGCGTAATTGGCCAAAGGGCGCATCCACCGTAACGCTGTCCCTCAGGGTGTCCCTCAAGGTGTCCCTCAAGGTGTCCCTCAAGGTGTCCCTCAGGGTGTCCCTCAGGGTGCCCCTCGGGTTGTCGTTTAGGGTGTCCCTCAGGGTATCCCTCAGGATAAGGCGAGGCCTAGACCTCACACCGTACTTCGCGTTGTCCCTCAGGGCGTTCCTCAGGGTGTGCCTCAGGGTGTCCCTCAGGGTGTCTCTCAGGGTGTGCCTCAGAGTGTACCTCAGGGTGTCCTTCAGGTGTCCCTCAGGGTGTCTCAGGGTGTGTCTCAGGGTGTGCCTCAGGGTCTGCCTCAGGGTCTGCCTCAGGGTGTGCCTCAGGGTCTGCCTCAGGGTGTGTGTCAGGGTGTGCCTGGGTCGGCCTGGGTGCTCCCCGGGTTTCCCTATGGTGTCCCTGAACGGTAAGGTGTAATAATACAGACCTTACATCTAACCCCAGGAGGTCCCTCAGGTTGTCCCTGAGGATGTCCTACCGAATGTCCCCATGAACTAAGTTTCAACCAGGATGCCGCTCCGGACACAGGTGTCGAAATGCGGTGCGATAACCTGGGGACGTCAACCATTAGGCCGTGGGTCGAAAACCGTGGGGTGTCAACCTCATCGCATCGCCCTCCCCGCGACCTCTACGGCGTCGTCCTGGAGGGCGATTTACCGCGGCACTCCCACACCACTGCTGCCGCCACCCTCGGCCACGGCGGCGCCCCCAAATGAGCGCCAAGTTGGGCCGTGCCATTGCGAGACGCCAAGAGCCGTGCTGCGGGGCAGGTCGAGCGGTGCTCTCAATATGACGCTTGTGCCTCGCCCCCTCGCCCACTCTCGCCCACCACCGCCCTCTCTCCCTTCCTCGCCCACTTCCATCCTCGTCAGAGTTGTCCAGTTGTACCGAGCGCGGCTAACGGCCAGAGTTGGGTCGTGGCGGGCTCGTCACGGCGATGCTGCAGGTACACGGGGCCAGCAGCGCTGCTTTGTCGAGCTGCTCCGGTGAGGAGCGGCGGTGGTCAGTCGATTTAGTGGAACACGCAAATTGTTGGCTCATTTGGCTTGTCCGCGAAACCGCGGGCGAATGCGCCTGACTTTGACAGCGCCGAGCGACGGGAAGTGACGGCGAAGAGGACGGCCGTGTGTGAGAGAGGCAGAGAGAAGTGGTTGGTGTGCTGCTGCTGCCTCCGCATTGGCACCAGTATTTCCAAAGGAAGAGGGGGTAAAAAACAAAGGCGATGAAGGAAGAAAAAGGACGAGCTAGAGGTTGCTTGCCCTGCTGCTGCGAGTGAAGAGGAAAAAAGAAGTGAGGAGACCAAAACGAAAACAAACACACCTTGAGCTAATCAACCTCAATACCGGAGAGAAAGAGTAGAGAGATATCCGGAGGAGAGGACAGTGAGCAGGAGGAGTCAGATAATGCACGAGGAGGATTAGATAAAGGAGAGGGGGCAGGGGGTTGTCTGAAAGTGGGAGGGAGAGAGAGAGGGCGAGAGTGAAAGAGAGAGGGCAAAACTGATAAGAATGCAAGACACAGACGAAGATCCACATCCCGGAATGAGGGCTCATCCTGCGGGGCGGGGAGGGGGAGGGATGCGCAATGCGGGGTGGCCGTTAACACGGAGCGGGATAATTATCGTGCAAGCCTGAGGGGAGGATCGGGGGCGAAGGAGGGG